ATTTTTAAACATTGCTGCTGTAACTGCTACTTACATGCCAAAGTAATGTCCAGAAGAAAATGACTGTATTTCTCTCTGCTTTTGCTACAGTGACTAATGTCTTCCTTTTGTAAATCAAGGTGATTACAAAGCACATTTCTGCTTTACAGTTCACTCCATTTGCTCTCCTTAATATTTCAGCAATTCCCTTTTTCTCCTCTTACAGTGCTCACCTGACACTGTATTGCTCGCAGCTTGAGCTTTGACAGCAGTAATGGTTTACCCCACTTTCCTGTTCTCTTCCTACTTTTCCTCCTTCTGTGGTGCAGTGTCAGCTACTAAGTACATTTACGCTCTTTTTTCTCTCCTAGTGTTTCTATCTTTGGTTTGGTTCTTTCTCATGATGCCCATGGAAGGCTGAAGGACAGGCTGAAGGCATGGTGGGACGAGCTGTAAGTCTCAAAACCATCACTGGTTTACAACTAAGTTGTTTGGTAAAATGCTTTATTTGAACACAATGTGTATGTGGCACCAAACTCATTTGATATAAACATGTGTGAAAGATACTTTGTTTATAAATTTGTGTTCATTTAGAACCTAAAATCCACATTCACAAAGGTTAAGGGCTGACACTAAGCAGAAGCCATATGCTCCATTTGGGGAACACCTTGATAACATGGGTGGCTTTCCCTCAAAGATTCAAAAGTGAATTGTTATCTCCGATGAAGAGTTACATTTTCATCTCATCAAACACATTCTTGAAAAGCCTGGCAAAGATATGTTGCTTGTTGTTTCTTGCTGGTGCTGTTTTTAAAAAATAACGTCTGAATCATTACCTTTGGACCTGGCAGACCAAAACCTTTAGATCCTTTTGCCCCAGGGTTTCCTTGTGGACCCTGTATACCCTACAAAGCAAAATAAATGAGTTAGTGCATTACACTCTTCCACACCTGAAATTCACCATGTGTCCATCTTCCAGTTAATAATGATCTTATCTTTAAAAGAAAACAATTTGCTCGCCTCTCCTCAGGCTTAGTTCTGAGATCTTTATTTTATTTTTCCTTTGTCACTATCCTGTGGATTTCACTGATGTATCCAAGTGTAATGACAATTACTGTTTAGGGAGAAAACAAATGAGAAGTGTTTCAGTATCTGCATCTAAGCCCTGCTTCAATGGGATAGTATGGTGGACGCATGAGCTCTTATCTTTCAAAAAAAACAAAAAGCAAAAGGTCTTTTGGGATGTTTCAGTTTTTCTGTATCCAGCTGTTAAAGGCTGTGTTCAAGCTTCAAAGGGCTTGAAATTCAGAAGTGGTGGATTCTTACCTTGTGAAACTCTTATTTATAACATGTCATCATCCAAGCAATGCATCTGATTTATCTCCTATGCAAACTAGTATGCAGATTAGACCAAATTTCTGTTTGCCTGATTCTAAGACCATTCAAATCAGTTGGAATTACTTATATTTACAAGCTTTGCCTAAAGACTAGTTTGATACTTTTTAAAATGAAAAATCACTGTGAAATTGTTAATGTCTTCACATCAAAACTAGAGCTCTGATAAAGTACAAAACGAAAACTACATGCGAATGCTCATTACATGTCCAAAATGTAGACTTACCTGGCTTCCTGGATTGCCTATTCCTGGTGGTCCTGCTGGGCCCTGTGGTCCAACCTGGCCTTGTTCACCCTATACAAAAAGTATGCCTAAGAGCTATATTGCAATAGTCCATGCTAGTCGACTAACATATTTAAACTAAACACATAGCAACAGTCCCCAAGCTATATTATCTTGAAGTTTGCTGCTTCAATTTCAGTTAAATGTATTTGTTTGGAATACCTGAAAGTCTGCCTATGGCAATTCATGTAATAAAAATAGTACCCCTTCCTACCTACAAACTCTATCTCATTTATAACATTAGATGACCACAGCTGTAACTTTATTATTAGAAGGATCCATAGTTTATCTTTACATACTGAGATTAATTTTGTTTTTCTTGTATGGAAATATGTACAGTTTCTTGCACAATACTCAGAAGAAAAACTTGCAAGTGTAAACAGAGCAGCTGGAGAGCATTTTTGAAAAATCCTTGTCACGTGGTATTGTAATGGTATTGTACAGCACTTGGGGAGGGAACAGAGGAATTATGGCAGAGGGAATCATGGGACTACAGGAATATGGGGAGGTCACGTGGATATTGGAAATGGCACAGACCCATGAAGGTGTCAAGGATGTGTGACACCAGTCCCTAGAAAACAAAAAATAATTAGTTTCATTTATTCCAGAAACACTTATTTACTGAAATGGTCCCAAATGCTTGCTGTCCTGGCCATCGCTGCATTTTTCCTATACAGACATGGGAATAAGATGACTCATTCCTGCACAGATAACAACCTCTAACTAAGGCCTCGACCAAGATGGTCTGGCAGGTGCTCATCAAGCACATCTCTCACAGACAGGCCAAATCCGACCACACCACACCACACCACACCACACCACACCACACCACACCACACCACACCACACCACACCACACCACACCACACCACCTAGGTTGCTCTGAAGATTCTGGAGAGACATTTGACCAGACAGCGAGATGAGTAAATTCAAGTTAAACTTCCCACATCCGCGAAGAACTCCCTGCTGACTAAGCTGTCAAAGACTTTGGGTGGGAGCAGTGTCCTCTCCTCTCACTGAAATTGAGTGTGGGGCAAGGAGGAAAGCAGGAGTCATGCGGACAGGGGGGAAGGAAAACAATGGGGAGTAGGAGGAGGGCTATGGCACTAATAATAAGAAGGAAGATCTGGAATCACTGTCTCTGCTCTATAGGATATTTGGACATATTGCATCAGCCACTCTCTGGGGATGCACAAGATACAGCCTGGAATTTCATTAGGCCAAGGGAATGAAAATTGTTCTGGATACCTCTTTCGGGGGCTGGGCACCAAAAAGCTAACAAATTTCAAAAGCCAGAGTGTTCCTCTGCCTGTTCCAGGTCCATGAGATTAGATGACGCAAAGGGTTTTTTACTATTTTTTAACATTTAAATAAAATTGTAAAGATTTTAAATACAATATTTCTGAAAAAAATTTAGGAGGAAAACAGTCCATTTCTTCCCTCATACTCCCAGCTGCATAGAATACAGTCCTTAGTGACCTCAGTTAACACCAACAGGCTCAGCTACTTGTATAGATGAGTGCAGACTATGGAGCTGCATGGAACAGTGTAGCATAGTTCTTCCGATTCCAGGTAAAACATACCTTTGTATTGTTGTGATATTGTGTGAATAATTAATCATTAATTTAACTATAAATATAATTAACTATAGATACGATTAAAAAAATACTCTGTGCCTCACCTTGTCACCTTTGATCTGTTGACCTGGCAGTCCAGGAGGACCAGCTACACCTTCAGAGCCTTTTTCACCCTGGAAATATGTGACAGTTTTGTAGCAGTATTTGGGAATTTATAAAGAACACCATCCTAGACAAACTGGTCATCACAATGTGGGTAATGAGGAAAAACGTATTCCTTCACAAACAAACAGGAAAAATATTCAATGGAATCATCAGTATTAGAGAAAAGCAATTCAGTTACAATTCATAACATGCTTCATCTGTATTCATTGTGTTGTTGAACAGAGGACTTCAAAAGAAGAATATGAAATAGTAAGAAGAAGGAAGCTACATTTTGAAAATGCGATAATATGTTCATTAGTCAGAGAGAGCAGTTCAGAATCTGGTGCAAGGACACGACTAACATCTTTCCCATAAAAGGAAGAAAAATCTTCTTTGCTTAGTAGTTCAAGGCCCTAGAGAATCTTAAAGCCACTAAAAAAGAGGGATAAATTTTGATGGGAAGTCCAGTTGTGATTTAATCATAATTCTTTGCTTGCTTGTACTTATGTTTAAAAAAAGCAATGTTCGCATATATTAACTTAGCAAGTGCCCTTAATGAGGTAACTGTCCATAGAGACTCATACAACCTATCTTCTAGTTTCCCAAAATGGTAAGACAGAATGAAAACAGTTCCTGAATGTTTTCTTCCAATACAGAACATAAATAGCTAAGTAGTCTTTCAGAAGACAATTTATCTCATTAATGCTACCAAAATAATCTTATTAAACACATAAATAAGAGAATCGTTAACTTCGTATTGTTAGAGGGACCGTACAACATTTTGTAATTATATTGATAGTTTCTGAACTCAGAGGGATATTGAGAGAGCACAGTGATCCAGAAGACCAAGATCCATCAGCTGACATTTTATACCAGTGAAATAACTTAGACACTACTGCAGATTTGGCCCACAATGTTAAAAAAACTAATTTCCATAAAACTACCTTTTGGCCTTGAATGCCCTCTCCTGGCAGACCTTTCTCACCTGGCAGACCATCAGGGCCACGTGGTCCCTGTAAGAAAAGAAAAATATAATCAGACTATATCAGCAATTCCATTTTTTGTTGACTTTTTGTCTAACTTGCTAGTATAGGTTCTTGCAACATTTATGACACCGGTAAATAAAAATGCTTCCGTAACAGCTGGCTGAGCCCAGGCAATTAAAACGAAGTGTAGCAACCCTTAATTGGAAGATTTAGATTAGAATAAACTAATGCTGAAACAGTGTGAATTACATAATTAATGTCTAAAGATTGTAACTCTTTAAACTCAAATGAACCTGTAGATTAATTTATAATAAAAACATTTAGCACTGTGAAATTTATTCCCTATAATTTCATATAATTCCATGATTTTCATAATGAAAATCATTAATTTGAACATAGGTTTTTTCATACAAAATGGCAAGTTAAACATACAAAATTAGAGAATGCCAATTTTGTTGTAAACAAGTGCAGAAATAATTATTTTTGTAATACTTTCTGTTCTTCCACAAAATTCAGCTATCTTTCATTATTTAAAGATAATAAAGAGTTTTTAAGGATGATCTTGATTAAGCAAAAAGTTTCTACATTTTTTGTGAGAAAAACAGTCTTTTACAACCACAAAGTGACTTTCAAAAATACTATTAGAATGAATCTAACACCCACCCACATTCATGGCTTCTTAATTAACCATCTCTTTCAGGTTTTTAATGAAATACACAAGAAAAACATACATTTTATACATTTCAGGAAGAAAAAGGAGCCAGCGAGCACGAACTCAACGTTACAAAAATCTTGCTAAAGTTCTGTAATGCAGAAGTTAAAGATATAACTAAAAGCATATAATTTGAGTCTTTGTTTGTGATGCAATCCAAATTACACACAGGAGTTGAGGAATGCCTCAGCTCTTGGATTTTCTTCTTCTTAAAGTTTGATTTTATATAATTTTTAAAGATTATCCTCAACTCAAACAAGTAGGGGTATAGCTATTTATATACAACTCCATGTCTTTCTGAAAACTGGATACTGCAATCCTGCTCACATGGACCAAGTAATTTTTTATTTCCCCAAAACTTGTTTGGACATGGCTTTATTCTCCTACTTGGGCAAGCCATGTGCAACTACTGTCACAATACTGGGCTGGCATAGCCAAACACACTTCTGCTGCTCCAGGCTAGGTCCAAGGTGGTTTATGGAATCAGTAGCCAATATAGCTGCTGTCAATCAATCACACTCACTAAGACTTATTTTATTATATTTCCACTTCCAATGCATATATCACTGACTTACAGGTAATCCTGGCTCACCAATTCCAGGAGGTCCTGGGAATCCGGTTTTACCTTCTTGACCTTGAGCACCCTTGTGAAAAAGAATATTAGAAAGTTCAGTCATAATTCAACTCAATGCTTTTGAAAAGCATAACATTTACATATAGATGACTTAATAATGTCATCAGAAAGGTCTGAAATCAAATGTGTACCATCTCCTGACGTAAAAAAACCATAAATAACAATTTAGAAACATGTGAAAGTACCTTTTGATTAATACTTGGAGCACTAGATCGCATTCCAGCCCTCATGCCAACAGCAAAGGAGTGTCATCACTTTGCATAGGGCAGGAATGCTCACGTGTGAGGGATCCTCACCGTAGCCTCTATCTAGGCACTTGAATTGAAGCCTGCTTCAGTGGAATATGGGATTACACGGGAACTCCAGGAACTGCTTAGTTTCTGTATCTTCTATTTATAAGGTGTCATAATCTTCTCAATTCCTCCAGTTTACTGAGGACTATGTGCTTCAAGGATAAGAGCACAGAGGATTTTTATCTCTCCCCAGAGTAGTACAGAGACTGGGAGTGACATTCCTTCTCCATAAACTATTTTCCCTTCTGGAATGACCCAGTGTTGTTCCTTGTATGGCAAATTACTAGCTCCTGAGCTATATAAACCCTCTCTATGTTTCCAGGTCTGCCTCACTGCACAGAAAATATGCAGAAGTTCAATGAATGTACAAATTAGAGCAGTAAAAGCAAAAAAAGTGTAGGTATTTTAGACATTGGAACTTGGCTCCAAAAAATAGGGGAAAAAATGGCATAAAGCAACACCAAAGACTTAGCAGCCAGAAGAACTAGGCTGAGTTCTAGCTCTGCCCAATTTAGATTTCTTGTTTGAGTCTGAGCTGTAGGTCTCTGACAAAACTCTCATAAACTAAGTAGTCATGTTTCCTATGTAGATGCTTTTGCAGTTTTCCAAAAGGAGATTTGGCTGACCAGCATATGCAGATATGGCTTTTCCCAATAACAAGACTGGATTCCACCTTCTAGTCTTTTGCAATAAAATAAGATGGAGGAATTAAATGTTGCATGAGAGAGAGAATTTCATAACCTATAAGAATATCTGTTCCCTAGTGAAGAAATAACAAGGCCAATCTGTCACCTGAATGTGTATCACAGTGACTGAGATGTATTTCTATGCCTTGAAGTATGGTTTACTCATTAGGGCAAGCATCTGCTAGTGCTTGAAAATGATCTCACATATTTAACCCCCATTTAAATGGCATTAATTATTTCTGACTTCTATTATATCAATGGGATCATAATAAAAACTTAAGAGTTGCTGGAAAGGCATGTCTGTTATCTCCGTTGTATGCAAATACAAAAACCTGTCAATATTGTATCAGTTCTACATTTAGATGATAAGAGTTTGTGTCTGATAAAACAGCAGGTGAGAACTTTCATCCAAAAAATGACTGCCCACAGTTAGCACTTTAACAGACATGTTACTGAGAGTTACCTTGGGTCCTGGCTGTCCAACACCAGGGAGTCCTGGAGGACCATAGGGACCTGAAGGGCCTTGCTCTCCCTAAAAGAAAAAAAATTGAAAGAAACTATTAATGCAAATGGAACCCTAACCAAATTCTGCCAGAGTGTCTTTCCACAGCTTCATTTAGGGCTAGAGAAATAAGTTTTAAAAACAAGCCCAAACCAAAAAAACAAAACCCCCAAAAACCCTGTCTTAAAGATAAATGTTTAGATTAGGATCAGGGTCAATATCCTGGCCATACCAGTTGCTGGGACAGATAATAATTTTATAAAGCCATTCGTTCATATGCATCAGGAAAGATAAAGAATATATTTATTCTTTGTCATATCTTTGGTCCTGACTTTATCCAAAAATTTGGTGCTTCTTCAGCTTCTTTCTTGCTAGAAAGATGAACATTTGGAAACTAAGCAGTGCTTATGCTTTAAACATTGCACTCAAGTTTCTTCCCATAGCAGCAATTGCATATTATGACTTGTTCCTAATGCTATCTTTGACTGCAGCTCCTAATTCTCTTGCGTGTTTAACATGTTTCTAACAAAGCCAATGCAGGCACACAATTATTAAAAAGGCTTTTTATCAAAATGCGTTTATTTTCTGGGGAGGTATTCATGTTTGAGGGTTTGAAACTTTGTATATACTGAGAAATTTTATATGCAGAGTTCTGAAACCTTTCAATGAGGTTTTTGCACTTGAGAGGACAATGGAAGTGTAAAAAACTACTTCAAAGCCAGATATTTCTCCAGAAGTCTACCAGTTTGTAATCTGCCAAAGAAAGAAGCTAAGACGCAGGAATGGGAATATATGGTGAAAGTAAATAAACAGATTATCCTTGAAGCTTAATTTCTGATAACTATGCACTTGGAGTGCTACTACTGCAGCTTTAAATCTAGAATAAAGTGAAATAAAGGGTATCAGCAACACTGACATTGCTTCAGTGTGGATTCTGTGCATGTAGCTGTTGCCAAAATAAAGAACATAAGGGGGCTGGAAGTAGATGATCTTTAAGTTCCCGTCCAACACAAACCATTCTATGATTCTATGAAAGAAGTTTATTGTATTCCTAGGTAGACCTTATTGTTTGGGTTTCCTAATAATATTTTCATGAAGCCTTTGGACCAGAGTCACAACTCAGTTGATGTGTATCCAGATTATCATAAATGATGCAATGTTTACTGCTATAAAGCCAATTAGAAATTGACCCTTTTTGTTCATAGCTGTTTTTTTCCTCCTGTGTTTGTTTTGAAACTGATCAAACAACAACAACAATTCCTCAAATGGCCCGTCTTCTAGAGTTCCAGTTCTTCCATGGGATTACTTTGGCGTTGAACAAACTGTCCTTTTAAGATCAGCTGATTAAAAATAATTTTTATTAAGTGTTTCCCATCAGCAGGGAAAGCAGGAAATTTAGCGAAGGCCAAGAATAACAGAACCAAAGCTTGCACTTGTATCTTTTTTAATTCTCTTTGCAAATTCTCTAACTACTGTTGTCCTTTAAGCCAACAGTTAGCTGAATTTCAGGGCTTTTGGGGCTGATTCTGTTTAGACAAGAAATAGGGTAAATATGCAAGGAAATGTTTTATATTATTTCTTTGGAAAATAATATATACTAAAAGCACATTTGCAGAAGGGTTTTAGTGACTTAGAAGCCTTCATTTCATTTCCAATGGTGGTAATTTAGGCTACTGAATTTCATTCATGCCAACAGGTTACAAGCATCTAAGCATCAATGGAAGGGCAGCTTCTGGTTGTGCATCAGTATGTAGAAGCGCACAGGCAGAATGGTATCAGCAAAGCCACAGTGCTGTAGTTATGCACACCCAGCCCCGTGGTGTGCTCTGCTTCCAGGGCAAAATCATCCCCATGGGAGCTATACAAGTAAAACTGTTGTATTAAGGTTTCAGTAGAAAGTTTTGCAAGCAAATTTCTGTGCATAGGCACTCCCTCAAGGACAGAGATACTTCTGCCACTTTTACCCATAGTTGTGTTTCTTGCAAAGCTGGTCAAGATGCACAAAGGATGGGTTTTGGAAGAATGTTAAGCCAAGCACATCAGCCTGGTGCCCAAGAAACATTGCCTTTCAGCCTATAGGCTCCCTTATCTCACCACCAACTCTCAATTCAATAGCTCTCCACTTCACAACCAACATGAACAGATACAGCTCCATGTAGCTTTAGGGCCTAGAGACAGGCAGGCTAGTTAGGGATGGACTTCCCCACTTCAAGGAAAAGGTGCCTCAGTGAGAAAGAAATAGGCACAGGCTGCTGTAAGGTCAGGCAGTATGCTAAATATTAGCTGTTCAAATTCACAGTCCTCATTTCTTTCATGGAGAAGGCAGCCTTGGAAGTGTCTTCCAAATTTTTTGTCCTGTCATCCAAATGGACATTGTGTTTCATATCTATTTCTGACAGGCCCTGCCAGAATTTCCCAGGGACAGTAACTCTGAGGGATGCTTCCTATCGCAAATCATTCACTCCTTCACAAGCTCACCCACATGATAGATCTATGGTAATATATGTGCTGCCTTGAATGCAGATGGGAGTCCTACTGAAATTAATGTTTTTCCAAAAGCTCTTATTTTAACCATGATAAAAACATTACATAGTTTTCTTCCAAGTGACTAGTGTCCTGTAATCTGTCTCACAGCAGCTGTACTAGTAGGTACTGGTGTAGGCAGCGTAAACAGCCCTTATGATAAAAAGCATGTAGGGTAGTATGAAAATGTTGTTCTGTTGAATGCTTTCTCACTGATAGCAGAGGATGCCTGAATAATAATGGAGAAAGAAACCCCACCTTCTACCAGACAACATGCAAAACTTGGAAACTTAAACTATTCAATCTATTTTAAAGACTGTATATTTCAAACTTCATATGGCTATTAGTAAGCCTGGCTTTTATCTTCTACGGTCTTGGGGCTATAGGTAATGTGGAATTTATTAAAACCATGAAGTGCTGGCAATAACATCATTATCTCTACATGTAGAAGGAAAAGTTTGCTTTTCAAAGTAGCTTCTTTGTAATTATTTTCTTTGTCTAACACCCTGCTCAAATTCTTTTTTCTCTCACTATTGGGATTTTCCTTCAGGTGGCATCTAGTATCACCTAGAACAATGGGAAGGAAAACAATGTAAATAATTTCTTTACTTTTAAGAAAGCACATATATACAGTCTATAATGTGATAATGATTAAGCTATAGTAAAAAATAATCTTTCAAATATAATGATTTTATCTTTAAGGTAAACATTAGCAACAACAATGCAAGTAGATATAGATATTTTAACAGATATTATTGATAATTTGTATTTCTAAGCTAGTTGAGGTACCTAGGAACCATACTTCTTAACAGGGAAACTGGATTTTTCAGTCTCCTGGGAAAGATGTAACTTGCCACATAAGTAAGGAAAGAATTTATAAGTCATCAGAAAAGAAGCAGCATCCCTTAGCAGTTCATTCAGGGACACATTTTCAGAGAAATATGCAATGATGGATTTTTCACAGCATTATCCCAAGATGTTTTTATGGGAATAACTGCTTTGAATACCCACATTCAAACTTAACTGTTTCCTTAAAAGTCTGAATACACGTCTGTTCATACAACTTTAGAGTCTAATTCAGAATCTTACTATGCATATGAAATCTTCCAGAGAGGCTCTTACTATAGCAGTGGCTTTTAAGAATGTGTTGTTTTCAGTCTTTCCATGAATATATCATGGTTTCTAGAAGCGTGTACTTTATTTCTAGTGGCTGGTCTAAGAGTTTAAACAAACAAACCCAATGTCCCTTCTGAAATGATAACCGTAAGTACTCCCTGTTCATCACTTTCTTCTTTATGAATGGAACACAGGTCATGCCCACTTCCTGATTTTATGCCCCACTTTTATAACCTGTAACCATACCATTCTGTTTGTAAATTGTCCACTGAAATTTGCTAATAGTCACTATTATTCCCCTCGCTAACAAACACATTTTCAAAATTATCCTGACTATAAACACTCTCACGGAACCTTACTGGAGCTATTGTATAGAATACATTGTTGTGGGTTTTTTTGTAAATAGATATTAGTTAAGCATTTTTTAATAAATTAATGAAAACAGACAAAATAATGCCTACAATTTTGAATAAATTAATAGACATATGCATGTTCAAAATTCATTTTTTATCTAACACCAAGAGTACTAGGGGAAAGTGGATGTGCACATTTTACATTGTTGACCCCAATAAGGTACTTTAGCTTTGCAAAAATGTAAGCAGCAGAAATCTAGGGCTCAGAAGTTTGTTTGACCAAAATAAAGGGCATTATGTTAATTCTTAGAACTCTGTTTTCCAGAAGAATCATGGTGATTCCATTTCCTTTTTAGAGAGGAAACCAAGATGCATGAAGTCCTTTTGTGTTACAATATTTGCATTTTTCCTGTTTTCTATTGCTATTGAAGGGCAAAGCTGTCTTCTAATGAGAACATAACCACATAATATATGCAGTAATAAATAAATCCAACAAAAGTAAATGCAGTAGCCAGTTAGGACACTATTTTACTGTGTTAACCAATGCAGTTAAGAGATATGTAAAACCTAAGTATGAAAATGACAGAAAACAGGTTACTGGGAATGTTGGAAGATAAATGGGATTCTCACTGGATAATGTTTCTGGACAATACTGCTTATGACAGAATATATTACCTTTATAGATCAAATAAATCCTTTGTTTCTATTAATAGGGAATACTGACTTTATGTCCTGTGTCCCCTTTTGAAAGCCTATGGCTCCTGTAGTAACTTCAGTGTGATCTTTGAGAAGCAAACCAAGCAAAAGCAACCACAACTGATTTAATTCCCAAACCACCTGTTAACCAGCCATCCAGCCAATTCCTGGCCATCCAGGCAGGAATATGGCATATTACTGGAGCAGAACCAAGCGTGGCATGGCTTTTTTCTTTGCTAAATTTCTGTTTCTGATACTTCTAGTCTTACCCTAAGTGAGACTTTCCCTAAGTCTTCTGGGTTTTTTGAAACAGTTGCATCAGCCAGCAAAATCCTATTGTTGGCCATCCTTGCATTCTTAGTGAGACAAGGAACACAAAATCTGAGTTCCTTGCTCCTACAAGCTGCAGTTTGACAAGAGCTGAGTGTCTCTACATTAGACCTAGGGTTATAAATTGGTGTTCTGCAAATTCAATTAATTAATTGTGTGTGATAACTTAAAAGAACTACAAAAACTTTTCCTATCGGGTTTTTGTAATTTCTTTACATGTTTTATAGTGCAATGAGGTATATGGTACACTTTGATTCAAGTTTTTGTTTTATGTTACAATGAAGATAATATGTGGTGGCTGATGAAGCTGAAGAATGGCTTAAAGTGAAGCAAACGTCTAAGAAAATATAAAGCACAGCTGTGAATGGTATTTTTTTCTTGGAATTTTAAGTTAATGAGAGAGACAATAACATACAATTTGGCTTTAACAATATAATTTTTCTTTTGTAAATTCAACATCTTTCTACTGAAGCATTGCCAATAGGCAATAGAAAGTCAGTAAAATAGAAAACAAACAGAACAATCCTGGTCCTTTGCTCAGGACATGCTTGGGGAACAGGACAAAGATGACTGCTTCAGAAGACAGGAGATTCACAGTGAAAATAGCCAGTTCCCAACTCCTAACTGTGTTTGAGTGAAATGTCCTGTTACTCTCTAATGTTTTTCTCTTAAACTTATTATGTTTTACACTGTGTTGTAGGTTTACTGTTAACATGCAAGTTCAGCATTTGGTTAAATGGAAATATATTTAGTCAGGTAAATTAATAATAAGATGAGGTAACATGTATTTATATTTTTATTTTTATAGAAGCACAGTTCAAATTTGTCATTTTAAATGCCCCAGCCTCTTTATGGAGAAGGTTTGTCTATATGGTAATAAAACTGTTTAGATGTTTTTGAGATGTTATAATTTTACACAAATGCAAATAGAGAAAACTTTTTTTAAAGTTTGCTTAATAGCAAAAACTGGTCTTAGTTAACACCATGCTGAGCTGCATTCTGTCCTGGATATAGGTTGTTCAACATATTCATACGTGACTTGAAAAGAGGGTGAAAGTAAACCGATGAAGTTTGCTTGATATTAAAGAGGTTATTAAAGATAAGGATTGATTGCAAAGTGCATCAGAAAGACTTTAAGAGGTTAACGATGTGATTCAGCTCCATATGATCACTCCTAAACTTAGGTGTCTACATGGAAACAGGTTGGCTGAGTTTCTGTTGTAGTCAGTGGAAAGCTGGTCAGTGCAGGCAGTGGGACTCTGAGAGAGATTCAACTCATTACTGGCAAAATGATAAGGCAATATCATGAAAAGGGATGGAAGTAGAGTATTGTGCAGCCAGTAAGGCTTCACACTGATAGATTAGCCAGCAGCTTCAGAGAGAATAAGAAAATGCATATGACTAACAGAAGAAGCAAGGTATGAAAAGTTCTTTTAAGTCATTTGTGGACAATGTTTCTGGACTCCATGCTACCTTGCTTCAGACAAGTCAAATTAAATTAGTTGAAGTTGCAGTGCCACCAACCCTGTCCTGCTGGTGGCTGCCAGAGCCAGCTGCATCCAGACAGCACACAGATGACACTGTCCCCAGCTGCGTCTGCCGCCTGGTATTCCAAAGCAAGAGAACACGTACGGCACTGCCTTACAGAAGCGTGGGATGGACTGAGCTGGCCAGATATATGAGTGAACTGTAGACTTCATAAATGAGACCCAAAACATCTGTAGGCTGAGCTTGATCCGGAGTTTATATTTTAAGGAACTGAATCTCCCCTTTCAAACCTCAACATGGCCCACTAACAGTGAATAAAAGTGTTCAGCAGCAGTGTTCTGCATTATGTCACATTGATATTAATGCCATGCAACTGCCTTTAGCTCTGCTAAACCGGGGAGAAGTCACTAGTTAGCTCAAAAAGCAGAAAGTATTAGCATGGAAAGGCCATGGGTATAAGGAACTGCACTAAGAATAGACTTAATTATTTTATCCAAGGCAGTCATAAATAACTGCCACTTTTCAGAGATACTGTATTATGTGTCATGAAAACTAATTTTAAAAGAGCAATAGAATAATTCTTTTGTAAGGAAAAAACATATTGGAAAGACTCTTATGTCTGAACCAAAAAAGGCCTGACCTTTACCAGCTGAATGGGTGTTTATTAAGCTGTAAACAACCACTGATTATCTGTACTGATCATTAAAAAATTTCTCACTCATCTCAAATAAGCTCCAAACCTCCAAAGGTTAGCTTTGGCGCTAGGTATGGACAAGAGATAACCTCTAAACATACATATGTTTCTGCTATACTCTTTAAGTGTAATTACCTAAGCATATTAATTAAACTTGCCTGGCAATATTTTTATTATGATATATGTCTGATCCCGGAAAAAACTCGACTATAGACTTTAAACAGCAGGTTGCAGAGTTGGAAGCTGAAAAAAGAAGGAACTTTGTTTCTTATTCTTACTGAAAATCTGCAACTAAAGTATAACAAGAGACCATAAATATTATATCCAGGTGGATGAATTCTATAGAGAGCTGCATGTATTTTACAGATATGAAAGTGTGAAGAGACTGACAGGAGGACAAACAACATTCAACAAATACAGTTTCGTGTATAATAAAAGCATCTGGTGGTACTATCTTGGACTCAGTGTGAAAGGACAGATAAAAAAATTACTGTCATTTGCTGTGCTGAAGATCAAGAGAGGCATGACTTTTCCACCACATGTATGAATAGCTTCTTTCAGACCCATTATCCTCTTTCTTTCCCCACTTCTGAAATATTCTGTAGCAGCTTTCCTAATCAAGCATTTTGTTGAGAAGATGAAGAAATATGAAAAAGCATTTGTCAGGAAGAGGAAAGTCATGATGGATTCTAGTATTTCATACTTTTTACCATAAACGTTTCCCATATCTGAATTTATTTCTGTGAATCTCCAAATAAAATTGTTGCCTAAGAAACAAAACATGACTGTTTAAATATTGCATCTTTGGCAAATTGCTTTGTGTGAATTTAGTTGCCTTGTGTAACTTAGATATGGCATTGCATTAACCAGGCTATCAATAATCCTGTGGTAGAAAGTCTTTGTCATTAGACATTACATTTTCAAACTGATACATTGAAGAACTTTCTGTACCGAACAATGATGTTAATAGCTGTCCCACGGGCAAGATAACTGTATTCACATAAAGCAATTTCCCAAAGGTTTGCAAACTAGAAGACTGCCTAAATTAATCAGATACTTTATCCAACTGATTTTGCTTGACAAGCTGTAGTCTTTAACTCTAAATGATCTATTTTAAGTATAACTAAGGCATTAATTGTCATAAAATCTTACACCTCTACCAATTTCAAAGTTGTCTTGAGTTTTTACAGTATACAAGCAATTAAAAATGACTTTAAAAACTCAATCTGAAGATTTTATAACCACTATCTAGAATTACTTAAAATCTTTAAACACAAGGAATTTTAGTCCAAAATATTCCAGAAAAAACTTCCCAAGTGATGGCAGAAGCCAAGACACATATTCAGGTGATTTAAATTCCAACCTAAGTGCTGTGGCTCTAGGCAGGTCCTTGGTAGCTCCCTATTGTGGCCCTACAGAATGCTCTCCCAAGCTCTGATGGCTGGACTTGGAGACCCAGATGGAAAACCGGCTGTATGTGCCAACGATACAAAACCTTCATAACATGATGACACTATGGTGCACCAAGCAGGTGATGTACTTTATTGCTGTGCAAAGGACACCACTAACAAAAAACTACTGAGGAAAAAGGATAGTAGAGTATAAAGATTCTACACAGAGTTTCTGCATCCTCTCTCTCTCTATAAATAATATCTACACATATACAACTACATCTTACCTTGCTTCCTTGAATGCCTTTCGGGCCTGGCTCACCTGGAGGTCCACTGATACCCTACACAAAAGTCAAAGTATAGAATGAGTTGCCTTTGAAGACGCATGTAAAGTTTCTTTTGAATTTGGGCTGAGCAGGGTACAGTAAAACGTAGCACAACACTAAGCTCTAAAGGACAAGAGTTTTCTGCATCATATCCTGTGAAGTGCCCAACATATTGACTATTGTTCATATTCAATAACCAGTGCTGGCAGAAAGGATATCTTACTACTCCCTGTGAATTGCATCTGTTTTATCCGAAGCTTTCCATTCCTTTCTTCTCTTGCTCCTGACTTTGCCATATTTTCATATTTTCTCTTCTGCCCAAGCAAATAAACTAAGCTGTCACATCCTCTTTAGCTCCATTTGTAAGAAATCACTTCCCCTACATCTCTCTCTGATGATGAGCTGAGATTAATTTTAATTCCCTGACATTACTAGAAACATTGTGTCTGCTCACACAAGGAAATAGTTAATAGCTCTTTGGAAGAGACAGAGCAGGTAAGGTACTCTGTCTGGAGCGATGACATTTCAGGAGGTCCCTTCACCAATACAATGGCTGGTACAATGGCTGGAAAAAAGTAGGTCTGATAATTATGAAGAGCAATAAGATCACAAGATTAATAGATTACACCCAAGTCTGGTGTTAAAGCTTTAACTCTTACTGAAACACTCCAGTTCACCGACTTGTGAGTTACTGAACATCCCACTGGCATCTGCTGGGCTGCCCAGTTGGGTAAGACTGGTCAACACTGTTGCAACTACCACTAACAGAGCTGATAATCACAATGAAGTGGAAGCCTCATGGTTTTTTAAGTGACTGGAGAAAAAAAAAGTCATGAGCTGTCAAAAGAATAACATCGCAAAATTACAGTTTATTGTAGTAAAAATGCTGGGTGAATATGGATAATTTTATGCTTATAAAAAGACACAAACTGGCCCAAATCTAAACGTAATGGTTTCATTGCTGACACAAAAATGTGCTCAGAGTGTGTTCATTCCCTTTCTTAAATATGATAAACTACAGGAAACACATGACTGTCCAAAAAGAAAGAAAAATAATCCCTTTCAGCTACCTTCATTAACAGATAAAGTAAATCCTCCAAAATATTGTGTTTTGGCTCAGAAACAGATATGAAAATTTTGGAATATCTGTAATTTTGTATCTCCTATGGATTTCCAGTCAGAAAAAATATATTTATTATTCTCTCCTTTCCTTTTGTAGCTTTTGCACAAAGCATGCAAAAATGCAATCACACACCTAAGTAACAGTTATATGACCAAAAATCAAATATTGGGGGGAGAACAGTCAATGAAATGAATATAGTTAGTGTTCCAAATTATGCTGAAATCATAACTTTACAAACTAGGGAATAACTGTTTCATAAGAGCACAGTGATGTCCCAAGTGCTGTATTGTACACAAACTCACAGTTATATGGCCTTGCTCCTTAGTTTATGCATTTTAATTGAGTACTATTTACTAAAAGGAATCTTGCAGTTTTGTTTGTTTTAAAAGAAGCAAACTCTACTTTATTCTCTCAGTACCTTGCTGTCATATATAGAAACAAAATATTTATTTAAAATCACTTAGTACTTGAAAAGCATTTCCAAAAGAGACTTTGAAAAATCACACTTTTATAAGCTATTCTTCCCGACAAAAAAATTATGATCATGATGTGAGTTGGACAAATGTCCCAGCAGTAAAATGGAAAAGTGCTTGAGGCAGTGTGTGCTAATAGAAATACATAATATAAGCTGTTAATATAAATACATAAGTTAAAATAAATCATTCTCAAGCTTATTGCATGCTTTTAGTTATTAAGCGGGTTGTAGTTCCCATGGTAATTACTCTTAGAGGAGAGCTCTGCAGTTGGAGAGCCCAAGTGGGCCACACACCTCTGAGTAACTTTAAGCTGCAGAAGCAGCCAAGATTTTATCCTTGAAAATTTTTTCCAAAAGACAAAGGTTTACCAGATTCTGCTGTCTTGGTCCCTCATGCACCAAACGTGCTGCTCTCCACAGAGCTGACAGGTTGTATGTAGAAAAAACTTACAGAATATAATGTGTTTTCTTTTTATTTGGTAGCTTTTAGTTCCCTTACCTGAGGTCCCCGAGGTCCCCTAGGGCCAAAAGGACCTTCCAAACCCTGAGGAAAAACAAGATTCAATTATGAGATTTATAGGAAATTGCAATTATCTGCTTTAAAGTATTGAAAACCGCAGTGTACATGTAATGACTCATATCTCTGTTCAAGCATTTTCTAGGGAGTTTATTCTCTCTCCAGAGTACTGCTGTTCTCTTTCTGTATTCAATAATTGCCTGTTACATTCCATCCTCAATATTTGGTTAAAATACTTTTCATATACAACAAACATTGTGGATGGCTACTTAACATCTTAGCTATATGATTAACTAGTTGCTATTTGCTGCAGGTCTTTAAATTCAATTTCTAGAAGCATACTAGATACAGAATTCTTAAAAAAATGCTGCAGTGCTTATACCAGAACAACTTCAGGTAATTTTGTCTCACTAACTAAAACTGCTGATCAGTAGCATGGCAGAATCACACTAACAGTTTACAAAAAACATTAAAAATGCATCCAAAAAAAAGTAAAATGCCATATTTTTTTTATTCCATTGGCTGTAATTTTTCCATTTAATGAGTTCTTACCGTTACAATCTACATCGACACGGTAGATTGTTCACAAATCTTTCTGCTGCACTGTTTTTCCCTCACTCACCAGAATGCATATTCTATGGGATTTCACTTCCAGTTGACTCAATACTCAGTTATAATTTATTTCTAAAGCAAAAACAGCTTTCAGCAAATAGTTTACTGGTCTTTTCTTTCTCTTTCTTCTCTTTTAATTAGCATCATCTCCACACACAGAGGCACTGGCATACTGCTGCATTTTTCAAGGCATGTGTCACATTTTGAACCTCTCATAGCCTTGATGAATTTAGCAGTGATACCTATGCAGCCACACTCATAGAATCATAGAATCGTTTAGATCTAAAGTAAAAGACCTTTATGATCATCAAGTCCACAACTAAACAACGTCCCTAAGCATCACATCCACACGTCTTTTAAATACTTCCAGTGATGGAGACTCAACCACTTCCCAGGGCAGCCTGTTCCAATGCCTGACTATTCTTTCAGTGAAGAAATTTTTCCTAATATCCAATCTAAACCTCTCCTGCTGCAACTTGAGGCCATTTCTTCTTGTCCTATCGCTTATTACTTGGGAGAAGAGGCCAACCCCCACCTCACTACAACCTCCTTTCAGGGAGTTGTAGAGAGCAATAAGGTTTCCCTTCAGCCTCCTTTTCTTCAGCCTAAACAACCCCAGCTCCCTCAGCTGCTCCTCGTAAGACTTGTTCTCTAGACCCTTCACCAGCCTCCTTGCCCTTCTTTGGACATGCTACAGCACCATGATGTCCTTCTTGTAGTGAGGGGCCCAGAACTGAACACAGTACTCCAGGTGCGGCCTCACCAGTGCCGAGTGCAGGGGCACTATCACCTCCCTGGTCCTGCTGGCCACACTATTC